TGTGGCTCAGCTGCAGCACCGCCAGTCCCGCCAGCCCCTCAAAAACCCTGGCGGGGAGGTGGGCTATGGCATTGTGCGAGAGCACCAGGGTCTGCAGCGCCGACAGGTTAGCAAAGAGCCCCTGGGGCAGTGTCTCCAGCTGGTTGTGGGCCAGCGAGAGGTGGAGGAGGTGAGGGGTGCCGGTGAAGAGGGTGGCAGGCAGGGTGGCCACCAGGCTAAGAACAGTGAGGTTGGGGAGACCAGCAAAGATGTTGGGGGTCAGGCTGCCCAGGGCGTTGTGCTGCAGCTGCAGCCGCCGCAGCCCACCAAGCCCGACGAAGGCGTTGTCCGGCAACTCCTCCAGCCGGTTACCATCCAGGTGGAGCTCAGCCAGCTGGCCCAGTGCCCCGAAAGCACCTAGGGGCACCCGCACCAGCAGGTTGTCGCTGAGCTTGAGGAGGCGGAGGGCAGCAAGGGGGACGAGCAGCCCGGTCGGCAGCTTGGTCAGGATATTCTGCGAGAGATCCAGGGTCTGGAGGTGCCGGAGTGGGCGGAAGATGCCGGGGGGCAGCACCTCGATCTTGTTCCCTGGCAAGCGCAGGTCCTGCAGGTGGCAGGTGGCTGCGAAGAGCCCCGGCTGCAGAGAGCGGATGGCGTTGGCACCCAGGGAGAGCTTTCTGAGGCTGGGCAGGCCCACCAGCACCCCCAGGCTGATTGCCGGCAAAGGGTTGCCCGATACCTCCAGCTCGGCAAGGCTGGGTAGTCCCAGAAAGGCACCAGCCTCCAGCTCCTGGATGTTGTTGTTGAGGAAGACCAGCTTGGTGAGGGTGGTGCTGGAGCCCAGGGCCCCGCTGCGGACGCTGCTCAGGGCCGTCTCCACAAAGAAGAGCTGGGTGGCATTCCCTGGCAGGCCTGCCGGGATCTCCTGCATCCTCTCCTCCGAGCAGAAGACTTTGGAGGTGTCATAGCACTGGCAGGTGGGGGGGCAGGGCAGGGGCAGCCCCCCCACCAGCAGGGACCACAGCCCCAGCAGTGCGTAGACCACCAGCCTGCACTGGAGAAGGAGCCGAGCCTCATCCTCTGCCTTGGCGAGGCAGAAATCTGCACCCGCAGGTGGGTGCTGCTGGGGAAGTGGCCTCTGCAGCCAGAAATGCAGCAGAAGCAACCTCTGGGGCACTGCCTCCAGCAGTCATAGGGCATCCCTCCAGCCCCGGCTGTCCGCACCACCCCAGCACTCCCCTCGTGGGAATGGGGAGCACTTCTCTCCCAAATCTCTCCCCGCCTGCCCCAGGTAGTGGGTCAGGGCTCCTCCCCTGTGCCCCAGCCCCACTGCAGCCCGCCCTGGGGCAACCACCGTGGTGCCACGCTTGCCAAAGGTCCCCACGTCCTGCAGAGCAGCAGCTGAGGTGGGACCCATGTAGTCCTGCAGGGATCTTGGGGGAACCTGTGGCCTCACGAGATGTCTCCACAGGCACAAAGCCAGACTGTGGGGTGGGGGAGCATGTGAAGCACGGGGATGTGCTGCGCACACTGGGTGATGGGGACAGCGCTGCAGGGCTGCTCTGCACTCAGTGACAAAAGGAGTAGGCTCCACCCTTGTATTTCTAATTACCCATCAAGTAATTCTTCCTCTGCAAGCAACCAGAGCAGCATCAAATCTGCCTGAGGGATATTCAGCTGGGCCTATTCCCAGCCCACTGGAGGCACTTTTTGAGGCAGTGGTCTCCAGACCTCTGCCAGTCCCCCCCTAACTGAGATACGTGCCAGGGATGCTGTGTGATAGGGAATGCTGCCCGCCCCACAGCAATGCCCACCTGCAGACACCCCGTACAAGTGGGGCTCTCCTGGACTTACGCTGGCACTCGAGAGCAGTGTTGGGCTTGGCTTTTCCTTTTCACCATCTCACTTGTTTTCACCAGAGCCAACAGCGGCTCCCCCCTGTCCCAGGCCCCCCAAACTACCCGAGCAGCATGGCCACCACTTACCCAGTGTGGCATCGTGGAGACTGCCACCGAGCCTGCGGCAGGGTTGTGGGGACGCTGCTTGCCGAGATGGGATGATGTTTTCTGGGGCGGATGGGAAGCTGGCCTACAAGCTGTTCCTGCTAGGGCGGAGCTGCCCCTCGCTGCTTATCGGCAACAACAACCCGTGTCCTTGGAGTGCTTCAAAAAATAACCCGGCCCCAGAGGGACTGGAGGTGAGGCCAGAGGCAGCTGCCAGCGAGCATCCTGGCAGGGAAGCAGGGTCCCAGCCCCGGATGTCCACTGGCCCAGGGACGGTGGCAGGGCACTGCTGTCATGGGTGGCACCAGCCCTACTCCGAGGTCAGCGTGCTTGCTTCCAGCAGCACCCTGAGAGACTCCCTGAACTTTATTAAATCTCAGTGGGAAATGGTGCCAGCAAACATCTCCTGCACGAGAGAGGGGACCAGGCACAGCTTAGCAAGGCAAAGCAATGCCGTGGGGAGGGGACCGCCCTGGGAACATCCTTGTGAGATGCATCGGGTGTTTTGCAGCCCATGACGTGCACCTGGCCAGCAGTGGCCAGGGGGACTCATGGATCAGCTGGATGCTTGGACATGCCCAGGGGAGCAGTGTACACCGCCTTAAGAACTGCCTTGCAAGGGCCTGTGTTGGAACAGGCTGGGGTGGCAGCAGCCATGGATGTACCCCCAGGGGCAGCCGGACTGATGGAGCAGACAGCAACGCAGAGAGAAACTCAGCTGACACAAGCCAGCAGCAGCCAACTCTGAAGGGAGCCAAAAGAGCTCCCCAGCACCCGGGGGGTGGCGTTGGGTAAACCCTTGAGGCCATGTCCCAGGGAGTGGACTATCCAGGAGGCAGCCACTGTCTCTATCGAGAAGCTTGATGGAATCTCAGCTCACTCTCCAAAAGCCACCCTGCTGCTGTTGGATGGCTAAGCCCTCCTTGGTCCCTCACCCCAGGCTGGAGCCCAGGGACCAGCATGGGCTCTGCAGCCACAGCCCACTAACCCTCTCCCAGCCCCACCAGCCTGTATGGGCTTTTCCTCAACAAGAAAAAAATCTCTTAGGAATGGAAATCAAGCACTGCTCCTGTCCCTGCTAGGTCAGTCCCTGGCTGTGCACCATGGAGGAGTGAATAAACAGCTCTTGGCACTGGGGGTGGACAACTGCACTTTAATGGAGAGATCACAGAGCAGCACCCAACAGCCCCACAGCACAGTCCCGTGTCTCCCACCACTGTGTCAGTCCCAGCCCAGAGGAACATCCCATCATGTGCACGAGTGTGGGGCTGCTTGTGCCAGCGCTGGTTCCTGGGCCGGTGCGAGCAGCCAGAACTATGGGGTACACACCAACTGTGACCCTCGTCCCGTGGCAGCAATCTGCAGGCAGCCTGGCACCACCACACCATGCGCAGAGGTGAGCTGGACCCCTCCCTGGCCGTGCCACAGCTGGAGGAGGCAGGGTGGCCGCTGGACACAGGAGCGGGGGGGTGGGGGCGTACCCACCTGTAAATTGCAGAGCAGCCAGCGCTTGCTGACCCCTGCACTGTGCGCTGCCAGCATCCCCGCTGCCTGAGGGCTGCAAGCAGACAGAAGGACTGGGCACATACAGAAGGACATTTAAGGGAGGAAGAGGAAGAAGCTTTGCCAGGCAGAGCTGTGCCAGGCTGCTCACTAGCTGGTGAAGGATGCACAAGGATATTGAGGCAGCAAGGACCAGGGGTGAGGCACAGCAGGAGCAGCCCCAACATGCTCCAGCAGCCCTGGGGCACAAGCACGGGAGCCTTTCCCAGCCCCTGGCAGACACTTCACACCCATCGTCCCACCCCTATAATACCCCTGCAGTAAGGGCTGGTGCAATTCCCCGGCCACTCACAGGGTTTGGGCAGGGCGCTGCAGGCAGGGGCACGGCCACAGGAGGGTTAGCACCAGCACACGGCGAGGGCTCAGGGGTCCCGCTGCCCTCCGATGCCAGCATGCGGCCCCGCAGCTCTCCTGGCGGGAGAGGCACGAAGACGGGCGGAGCAGGAGGCTGCTCAGAGCAGGGGAAGATGGCGGCTGTGCTCTGGCCTGCCCTGCCTGCAGGCAGGGA